TCATTCATTGTTGCACTTTTCTCCCTGCCCACCCCCCCCCCCCAACTCGCTATTCTCTTTGAAAAGTAAAAGAAAAATTCTTTCATTGTTATACAACCCCCTCCCCCTCCCCAGTCCACTCCACTATGCAGGTTTCATTCTGGACTCTTGTCATGACAATAACACCTAATCATATATTCCTCCTAAACAGTTCTCTCCCTCATCTGTTTCAATGCAGTATATATTATTTATCCCCTCTTTCTTACCCCCAACTCTGATGTCAGTCCCACTTTACAATAGTGGCACTATGCAGTATTTGTCCTTTTGTGACTAAGATAGTTCACTCAGCATAATGTCCTCCAGAGTCACCCATTTTGCATAACATTTCATGAGTTCCTTATTTTTCAATGCAGCATAGTATTCCATTGTGTGAATATACCACAGCTTCTCTATCCATTCGTTTGTTGATGGGCACTTGGGTTGTTTCCAACACTTTGCTATTGTGAACAAAGCCGCAATAAACATAGGTGTGCATATATCTGCTTGGGTGACGGTTATGGTTTCTTTGGAGTATATTCCAAGTAGAGGAATTGCTGGGTCAAATAGTATTTCTGTTTCCAACTCTGTGTGCCTTTAGCGATGCAGTGCAGCTTCTTTCTCTCTAGAGAGTTGAATTTTATTCTTAACTAAATGTGGGAATCTCTAGGGGACAGGATGCATTTTAGATTCTCTCTCTTAGGGGTAAGAATAGAGCTTTCTTAACAGCAGCAAGGCTTTGGTTCCTAGAAAACTCCCTGTATTTTCTAGCTTCAAAATTACAGAGAAACCAAACCCTGGCCTCAGACATCAGGTTCTTGCATTCACAAATTCTAACCCCTGATTTTCCCTCTTCTGCCAGTGCCCGGCCCACTGACTTCGACTTCCTCAAGGTCATTGGCAAAGGGAACTATGGGAAGGTGAGTGATGAGGGTTAGGATTGGAAATCTGGGTCTTCTCTTCCCAGCATCTCTATGCTGGGCGGTCACTGGCATCAGCCAAGAGGATGATTTTTGCAGGACCCTGGAACCAGGGCTGGGGTCTGTGTGGCCACTGGGGCTTTGGAAGTCTGGAGAGGCGAGTGATTAGCCCAGTGCTCACTGGTCTCTCAATTGTGCTTCTGTGCAGGTCCTACTGGCCAAGCGCAAGTCCGACGGCATATTCTATGCGGTGAAGGTGCTACAAAAAAAGTCCATCTTAAAGAAGAAGGAGGTACCAGAGCTCTTCTGCTGGTCCTCAGCCCTCAGCGTAGAGTGGTCTCCAAAGACGGACTCCAGCTCTGAGGAGTCCAAGGGATTGGGTGCGAAGGGTACAGAGGTGGTCACAGTCAGGGCCCAGGTGGAGCCCAGGGTCTGCCCTTTTTCAGGGAAGGCATGCTAAGTAAGTGGTCTTTAGGACATAGTCTTGTTCCTCTGCCCTTCGCTGAGAAGTGGAGGGCTCCAGGATGGGCCAGCCTCCCCTCACTGGTACGAGGCTTCCTGTCTGGGTGACTCTGGGGTAGTAGTTTATGTTCTCTGAGTTCTGGTGGCATCATCTGAAGAGAACTGCACTGTTAGCCCAAAGGCCACGCCTCGCTGGCAGTTTAAATCCACCAGGGGCTCCTTGAGAGACAGATGGGCTGTCTGCTCCCATATGACCACAGAGTCAGAAACCCAATGACCCTCACCGGCTAGGAGTCAGTTTCAACTCCATGCGGTGAGTTCAAGGTGTTTCGGGGGTGATTATGGTTGGTTTTTTGTTGTTGGTTTTTTAAGAATGAGATTTTCAGTGCAACAATGAATGAATGAAAACCCAAAATCTCTGTAAATGTTCATTAAAACTAATAAAATTTAATAAAAAAATTAAAAAAAGAATGAGTGACTAAGCAAAGAAAAAGAATGAGATTTTCAGAATGTTTACTTTTGGTCTTGGGGAATCCATACGTAGACCAAGAGAAAAGGTTGTTAAAAAATAGCAAGGCGATAGTACGTGGTTTTAAATCAGAAAATGTGTTATGTCACACGGTGTAGCATTTTGGTTTTGTTTTTACATTTTTTCATTACTTTTAATGAAAGTTTACAGAAACTAAGGGTTTCCAGTCATTCATTGTTGCACTTTTCTCCCTGCCCACCCCCTCCCCCCTAATTAACTTTTCTCCTTGAAAAGAAAAAGAAAAACTCTTTCATTGTTATAGGGGTGATTATGTTTTGTGGGGTTTTTTTAATAATACAACATATTTTTTTACAGCATATTCTTCCCATTTAATTTTTTTCCATTCATTCATTGTTGCACACTTTCCTCCCTGCCTACCCCTCCCCACCAGTTCGCTTTTCTCTTTGAAAAAGAAAAAATACTTTCATTGTTATACAACCCTCCCCTCCAAGTCCACAGTCCACTTTACTATGCATTTCTTTTTCGGGAATCTTGTCATGAAAAATAATACCTAATTATATATTCCCTTTAAACAATTCTCTTCCTCATCTGCTTCAATGCAGTATACAGTATTTATCTATGGAGGTTTTTTTTAAAAGGACATTTCAAGCCTTAAATTTCTAGCTGCATCTGCTGGTTTGAGTCACTGTAACATCCTAGTCCCATCAAGAGAACAGAGCAGGTCCTGAAAGGGAACTGAATATCAAGGCAGCTGACCCAGGAAAGGGAGAGGTTCATATTGACAGGGATATCACAGGAGTGGGGCGGGGAGGTCTTCCCAAAGGAAATAGCCTTGCAGTCGCCATATGTCCTGCATGTCTAGCTTCCAGAGACATCCAACGGTCTGGAAAAGAGGTGGGATCCTGTGGACAGGAGAAATAACAAGAGCAAAGGCATAAATGTGTGTAATGCACGTGGAAGACATGGTTACTTGTTTCTTTGTTTCCTTGGATCGCATTTATGTCATTAGTGGTCATATGAGCTTTGCTTATCACCCCAGAGGCAGAGGTTTCTGATCTAGGGGCTGGAGCTGTGTCCCCCTAGACTGGTTGAGGATGAGGCTGACCTCGCTGAGTCCCGTAGACCAGGCAGGAAGCTTGAGTGTGGCTTTGAGGGCAATAGGGAGCCATAGAGGGTGTTCAAGAGGAGACATAGGGCAACCTCTACCTGAGTGGCTGTGACATGCGCCCCCGTCCGTGTGACCCACAGCAGAACCACATCATGGCCGAGCGCAGCGTGCTTCTCAAGAACGTGCGGCACCCCTTCCTCGTGGGCCTGCGCTACTCCTTCCAGACGCCTGAGAAGCTCTACTTTGTGCTGGACTACGTTAACGGTGGAGAGGTGCGTGAGACTACGGGGAGGCTGTCGCAGGGAGCCCCGCACCCCACATACCCACCATGTGCTCACCTCCTCTGTACAACAGACCCATTCTGTAGATGAAGAAACTGAGGCTCAGAGAGGTGACTCACTTACTCAAGCCTACCTGGGGTGGGGGGTGGGGGTACTCGACAGAGCCAGGATTTGAATGTGAGTTGGCCTGGTTTTCAGCCAGAATGTTTTCATGCCTTCTGCACATGAGGCTGTCCGTGAACTCACTGTGCTGAACTTGAGGAAGGTCAATGCTAAGAGGGTCCCTGTGGCGGAGACTTCTAGGGCCTCCATATTTACACCACAGGTACCAGGGGATGGTGATGGACAGGTCACCATGGGAGGAAGAGCTAGGTCAAATCAGGTTCCCTCCTGGTCTCCACTGTCTCACTGGACAAAGTGACAAAGGGTAGTGACTCCAGATTTAATCCGGGCCACTTTGTGTCAGACAGCCTAATGACAAGAGGGGAGGGAGGTTTTGTCCTTTTGTGCCCTCAAGACCAGGCAGATGCTGGATGCCAATCAAACAAAAGGTAAGAAAGTTTTGCAATAATGTTGTTGTTGTTATGTTGTTAGGTGGCGTCAAGTAGCAGGCGACTCATAGCGACCCTATGAAGGAGAGTCCTCAATGCTTGGGTGCCTTTCATCCTCTCTCCAGGTTCTTAGGGTTTCCAGAGGCAAGCTATTACGGAAGTGGATACCACTCCTCCTTCCAAGCTTGTTTTAATCGGGGAGCTCTACCCCACTCTCTGTCCTCATTGGGTAACCAACCATTAACACATTTGACACATCATTGTCACAGTGTTCAGCCTCACAGCAACCACAAATTTCCGCTGTACGGCAACTTGTACACCAAGGCTATACGACCTAGAGGAATGTCTGAACAAAAACAATGAAAGACAGGCTCGAGGGCCACAGATTAAGAGTCACCCCCACTTTGGCTTGGTATTTGCAATAATACCCATATATATTCAATCCATGGTATGCCCACTAGAAAACTCCCTTTCAGTTGATAGAACACTCAGAGCAGATCTCATAAAGGAAGCGCTTTAATTAGATCCCACCTCATTAAGAGCATGACTACGCCAAAAGTGCCCAACAGCCTCACCTGTCTCTCACAGGTGATGTTGGTGGCTAGTTGTTGAAAGTCTCCCCACCGGTATTCTCCTTGTAGCCAGCAGCTCCTGATTCTCCTGGGGAACCTCTTCCTTCCTCTGCTCTTGATCTTGAGGTTCAGGATGATGCTTTAGCACTCACATAATCCAGGGGACAATATGTTTCTCTTGCCCCAATGAGTGAGTCACTTCAAAGATGGCAATCGAAAAGAATCTTGAAGATTTTTAGAGTCTTTGCCAATAAGTCTCACTTGTTCTTACAAGAGTTGAAGCTGAAAGGAAATAACATTAAAGCTGATAGCCTTTTTCTGTAAATTAAAAAAAAAACAACACACACACAACTCCCAAACAACTTTGGGGGTGTAATCCATAGGGAGTTGCAGTGCTTACCCAAAGCCCTCGCCTCTTCTAAGGGTGGAAACCCGCCAGGGGCTTCAAGGGAGAGAGATGAGCAGTCTCCTCCCTTGTGATTTATAGCCTAAAAAAATCGGGATTGGTCTGTACCCACGTTGGTGATTGGTCTGTGTGCCGTTGAAAGTTGGGCTCAGTTTGACAGCTGTAATCGTCTCAGTGTCTCGGTTGCAGGAAAAAGCACATCTCTGAACTGTCCATGCAGTTTCAAGTCCAGCTCTGCACATCATGAGCGGTGTGAGCTTGGGCAATTCACTGAACTGCTCTGACTCTCCCAGACACCGACATAACATGTGACACTTTGAGTATTGTCTTGACAGTCAAACTAACCTGGCTAGGAGCCTGGAATCTAGTAGGTGCTCAGTAAATGCTAGCTGATCTCTCTTCCCCCTGACACTCGAACACCTGCAGGTGCTCTGTGGGGTGGGGACTGCATGCATTCCTTTTGCATGAGTGCATTGGACCTCAGGGATGGAGGACTTGGTCGTTCCATATGTAGCCTGTCACCCTGCACCGACGAGCGGGGAAAACCTCCCACCCTTCCGTCCTCTCTTCCAGCTCTTCTTCCATTTACAACGAGAGCGACGCTTTCTGGAGCCCCGGGCCCGGTTCTACGCTGCAGAGGTGGCCAGCGCCATCGGCTACCTACATTCTCTCAACATCATTTACAGGTGAGCCTGCTTGCGGCTCAGGGCCCAGCTCAGGTTGTTTTGCTCCAATAAGCAAGGGTTGTGTGAATCCTGAAACCCTGGTGATGAACTTGGTTCCTTCTAGGAGGAGGAGGACTTGCCAGCTGGGATTGGATCCGAAGCCCCTATCCCCAGCCTGTCCCCTTTGAGTCTCCATGAATGGTCCTCCTGGCCAAGCTCTGGGTCCCCAGCTGTCTGCACCAAATGACTGAGACTCAGCAGGGCTCTTTTTATTTTTCTGCAGGGATCTGAAACCAGAGAACATTCTCTTGGACTGCCAGGTTGGTGTCTCTGTGTGTGTGTGTGTGTGTGCTATATGTGATCAAGAGGTGTATACACATATGCACATGGTTCATGCCTGCATGAGTAGGTGTGGTCAAGTATGTGTGTGCTTGTGTGCCCATGATTATATCTGGGCGTGAACTTGTGCCCTGAGTGCACACGAGGCTGGAGATAGATATATATGTAATATGTGCACATGCATGTTAAGAAGTCTGTGTCGGGCAGGGGTAGAAGCCAGGTGGAGGTTAGATTTTTTCTCAGGCCTTCTATGTCATAAATTGGTTTCCTTGGAAACAGAGGCTGATATGTGGAGTTGGCTGCAGAAGGTTTATCTGGGGAATGTTTTTAAGAGGTGTTCACCTTTCCAGGGGGCGAGAAAAGCAAGAGTGGACAGAGAAAGTGGCTCACCTGTGTGTGACCTTAGCTGGTCTCACAGAGGCTGGGAGGGCCTGGAGCGGGAATGACTCTTTAGAATTGTCTTGGACTGAGGCAAGGAGATTGGGCCTTTGTGCCTGTGCATTGACCAGTCATTGGGTAGTGATTGCCCCTAGGGAGGGGCTTAGCACTGCATAAGGCAGTTCATGTCACAGAGGGCATTTGAACTTTCCCAGCAGGGGAAGAGGTAGGTAGGATGGGCATGCCAGGCCCAAGGAGGGCATCTGGGCAGACGTCTGCAGTATGCACCAACTCCATTATCTCCATCAATCACTTCTTTGACAAGTCGCTAAGTCCCTACCCCTCGACCACTGAGCGAGTGGCTGCCACCAGGCTCTCCTCTGGCAAAAGCAGTCTAAAGCTCCCTATGTTGTGATGGATGGATGGATGGATGGATGGATGGATGGATGGATGGATGGATGGGTCTGTGATGAGCAGAATGTCATCTGATGCCTCCAACCTGCTCCTGGCTTCCAGTCCTGGCTCTCTGTGTCTGGGGTATCTAGTCCCCATGGCCTCTGTTGCAGGGCATGATGTCTGGCTTTAGAGTTAAGCCATGCTCCTGTTCCTCCTCATCCTCAGGGACACGTGGTGCTGACAGACTTTGGCCTCTGTAAGGAAGGCGTTGAGCCTGAGGAGACCACGTCCACCTTCTGTGGCACCCCCGAGGTAAGTAGCCACCTCTGAGGGGAGCTCAGGTAGTGGAGGCCATAGCTCCATTGTAGAGCTACAGATTGTATCTGAAATGGCTTGCATTTTCTCCCACGTACTTGCCCTGAGCCTCAGTTTCCTCATACGCGTGTGTCACTGGCTATCAGGCTGCTGGGACCAGGCCAGCTGATGAGAATACAGCAATGCTACTGTCTGGGGCAAAACCAATGAATCTGGTCTATTTGTAGAGATTTATTTAAAGGAAATGTCACATCTGCTTGTAGAGGCTAGTACTTCTGAGCTCCATGAGTCAGGCTTCAGGAGAGAGAACAAATCCTTGGGTTTTTCCTAAGTCATGCAGTAGCTCTCATAGTTTGAGGGCTGGTACAGTCTTAAAATAGGCCCCATGGAGGGATTATGCATCCCTACTTTACAGATGAGGAAATCAAGGCCCTGTAAGGGCCTGAAACTGATAGGGTCAAGGTCTGAGGGATCTTCTGCCTCTTCCCAGATAATACAGTCTCTCAGGAGGCTCCTCTCCTCAGTGATGCAGACACCAGGCTAAGACATCATGAAACCCTGGGATTTGGCAGAAATCACCAGCTCTGTCTCAGGCCCTCCCATCTTCTAAAACCTATATGCGTGGTGACTGTTCATCTCTCCACGTGAACTCCAGTGTCACTTCTTCTCTCCTCATTTCTCTCCATCCCTCTAACCCTAAGATCTCCCATATGAGTTAAGTGCAACTTGCAGTTTACCAGTTAATCTCCCCACTGCATTGTGAACGTTCCCAGGACTGTCCTATTCCCAGGGCTTGGATAGCTCATCAGATGCATTTGCACAAATTAAAAACTCACCCTCTCTGGGTAGACCAATTAGGGTGAAAAAATACCCTTGTAAGGAAAAAAAAAGAATAAAGAAAAAAAAACTCTCTTTTTTTTTAATGTGCACCTTAGTCTTTATTTTTTTCTCACTAGTTTATTTACAAAATTATAATACAAATTTGAACAAATTCTTTCAATTTCCCTCACCCCCAGCCACCCATCAAATTGTACAACCCAGTGATTAATCCCCATTTCCCCCTGTGTATCCACATCTACATCCCTCTGCTTTCAGCCTCTCCCACCTCTCCTGGAACCTTATACTCCTTCTACAATAACAATATTTATCCTTGTGGGACTGAGTTAGATCATACTACTCTGAGTTAGATCATAATACTCTCCAGTCCCTCCCAAGTTAGATAATAATTTACAAAGTTATTGCTCCTGCGTGCTGCATAGTATTCCACTATGTGAAGGTACTGTAATTCCTCAATCCATTCGTTTATGGTTGGACATTTGGGCTGTTTCCATGTTCTTGTGATGATGAATATTGCTGTTATGAACATTGGTGTACAAATCTCCATTTGTGCCTCAGTTCTCATATTCTCTTCCAAGTAGTGAAATATGTGGGTCATATGGAATTTCTACATCCAGCTTTTTTTTTGAGATATTAATTTATAAAGGGCATGGAATCAGGGCTTTCATTGATGATGTCACATGGATCTTGGCTGAAAACAGAGAATACCAGAGGTATGTCTATGTTATATTAATTATGCAAAGATTTTTGTCTCTGTGGTTCATAACAAATTACAAATTATAGCTAGCATTGTGAAGAACAATAATCCCAGAACACTTAGTTGTACTTTATGTCCAGATTTTTGAGGAAGCACCAAACTGCCTTCCAGAATGGTTGTACCATGTCATGGCTTGGTGAACGGGTCACATCCAGGATATCAGCCCCCTTCTGCTGGTGCTTTGTGCAGTGCACAACAAGGGCAACTGTACAGAGCAGTCCTGCCTGGTGTTCTGTACATCACCAGTTCATGGCAAAGGGCCCTGCATGAAGCAGGCCTTTGGTCATCGGAAGCTCGGAGAGCACATGCACAATCAAATCAATGTCACATCAGGACCCTCTCTTTCAAGTGTCTTGTTTACAGAGGGAAACTGAAATTAGGGGGTCTTCCAAATAAATGTGGTTGTTCCCAACAGTACTTGGCCCCTGAGGTGCTTCGGAAGGAACCTTACGATCGGGCAGTGGACTGGTGGTGCTTCGGGGCAGTCCTCTATGAGATGCTGCAAGGCCTGGTGAGTGGGGTGTATGTAGCCATCTGCAAGGGACAGCTGGCTCTGGGGACCTGGGGTGAGTGTCTCCCGCATGTGGCCTGCTCCAGCTGTGATCAGAAAGCCAAATTAAGAAACAACAACAACAAAAACAACCCACACCAAACTAATGAGCATAGATAAATAGTAATTAATGATATAAAATATAATGTATATGAAAGATTGTATGAAACACAAAGTAAATGAAAGATTTTATAAAAAGCAATATACACAAATGAAACACAATGTAAACAAATCACTGTATGCAAACCAACAAACCCAGATCAAAAGAAAAGAAATGAGCTATTTTTGGCTGAAAAAGACAGTGTTGAAATATTGTTGTTGTTGATTACCGTCCAGTGGAGCACGACTCATAATGACTCTATAAACAAAAGACTTGAAACCTTTCTATAACGATCATTGTCTCTCAAAGTTTATAGAGTTTCCAGAGGCATGTCATTTAAGAAGTGGATGCCACTCCTGCTTCAGTATGCCATGTAGCATTTTACCAATTCTTGATTATCTTTTATTGATCACAACTGTTGATTTAGAGAAGCAGAGGTAAGAAAGCATCGCTGTTGGGTGCACATGACACATCTACATTATCATAATGTAAATTTGCAAACTCACTTTTTCTCCTTTAGTAATAATACTTTCAAGTAAACCTTCCCTTTTTTTTTTATTTTGGTGAATCAGAATTAATCCTCTCTGTCTCCCAATGTCATTGAGTCAGAACTCACCGCTGACCCAATGTTATAAAACCCAAACCCACAGCCGTCAACCCAAATCTCCCTCATAGAGACCTTCCATATTGAGTTTCTTTAGACGAGGAGACTGCCCATTTTTCTCCTGCAGAGTGGCCAGTGCATTTGAACCATCAACATTTTGGTTAACAGCCTGATACATTAGGCACTATGCCACCAGGGCGCCTTGCCAAAGTGCATATAAGGTTGTATTTTTATTTCAGTGATGTTGACAGCTCACTACACACCATCTAGTATATTATTATTTTGGTGTCTCAAAACAGCCTTTGGGCAAATGCAAAGAGACAAAAATTGATTAGTTGTTAGCAGCAACTAGAAGAAGAAGGGAGAAATGGGGAGTTTTTCCTTAAGGAGGACTGAGTTTCTGTTTGGGGATGAAAAACATTTGGAAATGGATCGTGATGGTAACTGTGTAGCAATGCCACTGAGTTGTGTACTTAAAAGTGGTTGAAATAGCCTATGCTTTGCTATTTATTTCGACCACATTTTTTTTAAAAAAGCCTTAAGAGGTTGGCACTGCAGGAAATACAGGTATTGTTTTTACTGAGAGAGAAATCAAGGTTTAGCAAGGTCACGGCACTGGTAGGTTGGGGAGCCCAGGAGTCCATGAGGGAGGGACTCTTAGGAGAAGACATGTCGACTTGCTATAGGCTGTGCTTTACTCTAAGTTGGTTTCACCTACCAGGCCTGGTGACTGGCTAGGCGTTGCGCTACCAACCCAAAGGTAGGTGGTTTGAATCCACCAGCAACTGCTTAAAAGAAAGATGGATGGTCTCTTCCTTGTGATTTACAGCCTATGAAAACATGGAGGGTCACCTATATGAGTTGAGTCTGACTCGATGGCAATAAGTCAGTGAGCCTGGTGGCTCTGATGGGAGGCTCTGCAGAGTAAGGAGGTGGATCTGGCTGAGGAGGTGGGAGGACAAACATGAGGGGAGAGGAGTGAGCCTTGAACAAGGTTTGGGGCCCAGCTGTCGTGTAGCTGCCTGACTTAACCCTCTGTGAGCCAGACTTCTCATCTGAAAGTCACAGCCTGTCCCAGAGAGTGATTGTGAGGCTGCACTGAGATGATGGAGGCAATGGCGTGAACTTGGCAGAGTGTGAAGTGCGTGCCTGAGCTGGCTAGCGTTATCAAGAGAGGTGGAGCAGGAGGTGCCCCTGGGCACTGCACACCCACCCTGGTGGAGAGACTGCTTGGTCTTCCCAGCATTCAGCTCAGCAGTGCCTGGGATCTTTGATTCTCTCCAGTACACCCATGTCTGAATCACAGGTCTGCATTAGACCCTTGACCACCTGCTTTGTTCCAAAACTCCCTGAGACCTGTGTCCACGCTAGCATCGATGACCCTCTTTCCTCTCTTTCCCTTCCCAGCCACCCTTCTATAGCTCAGATGTGTCCCAGATGTATGACAACATTCTGCACAAGCCACTGCAGATCCCTGGGGGCCAGACAGTGGCCGCCTGCGACCTCCTGCAAAGCCTTCTCCACAAGGACCAGAGGCAGAGGTTGGGCTCTAAAACAGACTTTGTAAGTATCTGGCCAGGGGAGGACTGGCCCTCTAGGGGGCTCTTGAACCTCAAGCATGTTAGCATACATCCAGCTGTTCTTTAAAAGCAAGCCCTACCAACTTGCTTACTGTTGTCACTTGTTGACTACTTTATCTATCAATCCAACTAGCATTTACTGAGCACCTACTCTGTGCCTGCCCCTGAGCTAAGTACTGGAGATTCCACACATTGGATTTCTTTATGGGATTGAGTGAGCAACAAACAGCCAATACATACAATTATTAGAAAACGTGCCAAATAAAAGGAAGGAGAGGGCCAATGAGCTGAAACGGATAGTAATGAGAAAGGACCAGTTCACACTGGCGTGGTCAGAAAGATCCTCTCTGAGGGGCTGACAGTTAACCTGAGAATTGAAGGAGAAGAAGAGACTATTATATGGAGAGCTGGGAGAAGGCATCTCAGACACCAGGGGTGTGCAAATGTCCTGTGGTAGGAACAAAGAGGAGAGTGGTAAGCTATAGGGTATTTTGGGCAAGGCAGTAGAATGGTCTGACTTAATGGGGTTTTGTTGTTATTTTTAAAAATTTTATGTGTGTGTGTGTGTGTGTACACTATCAAATGGGATCTGACTGGTACAGGAGGAGATTGTCCCTCCTTCTCCAGCAGAGCATGTGGTGGATTCAAACCATGTACCTCTGGGAATGCAGTGCAGCTTCTTGCCACTAGGCCACTAGAGCTCCCTCTAACTTAATGTTTTAAGACAATTCCTCTGGCTCCTGTGCAGAATGACTTAACTTGTTTTGTTCTGGTTTTTCCAAGACGTCTGAGCTCTTACTTCTTTTCAGATCTCGTATTGTGCACCCAAAATATAGATATGAATAATTCATAGACTGCTCCCTTAGCAAGTGTCTTTGTTATCTAGTGCTGCTATAACAGAAACACCCCAAGTGGATAACTTTAACAAACAGAAGTGAATTATCTTACAGCTTAAGAGACTAGAAGTCTGAGTTCAGGGTGTTGAGCCTAGAGGAAGGCTCTCTCCTTCTGTCAGTTTGAGAGGATGAGCTTCATCTCCTTTGATCAGCTGATGGTCTGACCTTGCTTGGAGATCTTCATGTCTTGGCATCAGCCGTCTCCTGGATCTAGGAGGTTCTCAGCACAGGGACCCTGGATTGAAAAGACATACTATGCTCCTGGCTCTTCTTTCTTGGTGTCACTGAGGCCATCCCTACTTTGCTCACTTATCTCTCCTTTCATCTCTTGTAAAACAAAAGGTAGTGTCATCTATACTCAAGGAAACTCGCTTTATATCAGATCTGGGCTGTGGCCTGATTAAAGGTATTCCTCAATCCCTTGTCACCTTACAACTGATTGATCACATCATGGGCCAGATGACATCATTATGTAACTACCTCTAATCCTGCTTCTGTAGCATCATTGCCAGGTGCCCTGGCATTGGCTCCCACTCATAACTTCACATTTAACAGAATGAAACCTTATTTACAACACATAGGATAATGACACAAGGCTGAGAATCATGGCCTGGCCAAATTGACACATATTTTATCCAAGACAACAAATTGTATTATTTTAAAGTAATTCTTTAAGAAATAATCTAACTTTCTTTACCCTCAAACCATGAACACTTGGATTTAGAAAAAAGATCACAATGCTTTTCACCTCCCAGGTTTCATTTCATTACTAAAAACCATATTACTAGGATGCCTAGACAGGCCAAACTCCTGTGGTTCAAATCCCTGCTCCACCACTTACTATAGGTAGAACCATGAAACATGATTTAGTTTCTCTGTGACCCTCAGCCACCTACCTATAATAATAGCACCAATGTCATATAGCTCTTTTGAAGAGCAAGTGAATTATATATGCCAAATACTTAGACCAGTGCCTGGCAGATAGAAAGTGAATTTTAAATGTTTGTACCAGCAGCCCTACATGCTAGATATTGTGACATTTAATAACATTTAAGACATTTTTCTACTTAACCCTCAATGGATTTTCAAAAGAGCCTTTTATAAAGATAACTAACTCCTCCTAAGCTGAAATTTGCATCTTAAAGCAACATATAACCTTGGAAATAAGTTAGGTTCCTATAGATCAAAATTCAAAGAGTTTTAAAAGTCTCCAGAAGAAGTCCCCCTGGCTACCCATTTCTTCAATTTAGAGACATCCAGTGTTGCTCATTTCTGGGTCATCCTTTTAAAAGATATTTTAGTTTTTTTTTAACAAGTCCACTGATAGAGGGTTCAGAGAAACATTCTCTGAGAAGCATGGATAAAAGAGTCCTCCTGCGAAGGGAGGAAATCGGTGCCACTGTTGGTTTTGATTAGGGAGAACGGTGAAACATGCCAATGGTGAGTCCTCATTTCCCAGTATCTGGAGCTTGGCTTGAGCTTTCATTTTCCAAGCCTCCCTTAGGGAGTGGATTCCACTCGTTTCCCATGTTTGCTTTCTGGAATATTTAAGGTGCACTGAAGCAATGTGGGAGGAGGGGAGGTCCTAAGCTCCCTTGGGGATGACCCCATCCGAGGGTAGATTCTCCTATCTGGGTCCTGGGCACACCTCTAAGGCTTTGGATGGTGCTGGCACAGCACCTGTTGCCTTTGAGGCAATTCCAACTTGTAGCAACCCTCTGAGATAGAGTAAGTAGAAATGTTTGGTAGGGTTTCCAAGGCTGTACTCTTTCTGGCCTTATCTTTCTTCCACGGAGGAGCCGGTAGGTTTGATCCACCAACCTTTTGGCTAGTAAAAGAGTGTTTTAACCACTTTGCCGCCATGGATCCTTGGCAAAAGGAAGCTTCCATAAGCAACTGCAGAAGGAAGGTAAATGATGACACATGGCTACAGCCAATCTTCAGGATGTCTTCTTATCCTAAGAAACTGGCCAGAATTGCACGTTCTTTTTTCTCCCAGTAAATGTTTTAGGGCTTTGGGGGCCTTGTGGGTTTTGAGGGTGGGATAGGGGCATTTACAGGGAGGATTACTTCTGCCCTGCACTTTCTCCCTGCAGCTTGAGATAAAGAACCATGTATTCTTCAGCCCCATCAACTGGGACGACTTGTATCACAAGAGACTGACTCCACCCTTCAACCCAAATGTGGTAAGAGGTTATGACATCTAGGTTCTGGATTCCTGGGGCGGATGGGTGTTTGGAGGCTGTCTGGGATGGTCCTCTTATGTAGACAGGGTTCTAGAGGTTTGGTGACCGTCGAAGGCCACGCAGCAAGCTAGAGGCAGAGCTAGATCTAGAAATCAGAAGGTGTGGCTGCCTGTTCAGCTCTGTGGCAGGAGCCATAATACCATTTCCACAGATAACACCTCTCTCCTCTTGCTGATGCTGCTGTTTTTATTATGTACAGTAGAGTCGAAACTGATTCATAGTTGACCCTCAAGCGGGTTTTCAGAGACTATCAATTGCATAAGTGGGGATTGACTGTCTTTCTTTTGCTGAAAGGCTGGTATATTCGAATCACTTGCCTTTAGCAGTGATAATATTTGAAAAGGTACACTGAGCTGGACATTGGAGGTTCTCTCAACCACCTGTAGAGGGCAGTGCAGAGCAGTGCCAAGCTCTTTCAAAGCGTAGGCTGCATAGTAAACACTTGCCAGGGTTCATTAGTTGTTTGTATTTGTTCTTTGATAAATTGCCTGTTCCTGAACATGTCAGATAGATACAGTCCAGGTATCTGAAACATCTCTTTATGTTAGAATTTGTTTAAAGTAAAGATAATATTGAATATATGCCCTAGAGGGATGATGTCATACAGAATACCAGATAGGGAACCAGTTTAATGCAATGTCTGCAGTTTAGAGTAAGATACAGGGGTAAAGTCCTGGTTCTTCCACCTCCCCTTTGAGTAACTTTTATTTAAGTTGAACATCAGCTTTTTCTTCATCTGTAAACCACAGAAAGCACTTCCCTTGCCCAGGGCCACAAGGCTTGGAAGAGTTCAGGGCCAAGAATCAGAATTTGGGTTTGGAATTCTGAGCTGTGAATTGGGACTACTGTGACTCACGTTTTTGTTTTTTTTTTAAAAAGCTGGAAAACTTGTCTGCTTAGTTCTAAAGCTCAAGAATGCCACTCTTTTTTCTTTCTTTTCTTTTTATTTTAATGTAAGTTTACAGAGACTTTGGATTTCCATTCATTTATTGTTGCAAACTTTCCTGCCTGCCCACTCCTTCCCGCAGTTCGATTTTCTCTTTGAAAAGTAAAAAAAAAAAAAAATTCTTTCGTTGTTTTACAATCCCCCCCAAGTCCACTCCATTATGCAGCTTTCGTTCTGGAAAGAGTGCCGTTCTAAAACAGGTCCACAGCGCCGTCCTCATGCTTGTCTGCTTCCTAACACCTGCAGCACAAGAGGACCAGCACCAATGTGCAAGCCTTTTTTGAAGCCTGTGTTTTTGTTTCGTTTACTGATGTCCACTGGCCTCAGCGAGTCTCATAGCGACAGCGTCCTTACTCTCCCTCTCCTGCATCACCAGGATTTCTCTTCTTCACAGGACCCATCACCTGTTTGCTCCCAGGCTTATCAGCAATCTCCCTGTTGTTTTGTTGTCTGTTGGCATGGCGTCAGCTCGGACTGATGGCCACCTTATGAAGACAGAATGAAACGTTACCCAGTCCTGAAACATTGTCCTGATGTTTGCTTGGGCTTGTCATTGCAGCTGTCCTGTCACTGTCTCATGGAGTATTTCCCTCTCTTCCTTTACCAAACATCATGTCCTTTCCAAGCAACTGATCTTTCCTGATAATGTGTCCAAAGTCAATGAGCCAGAGTCTCAGCATCGCACAAGCTTGGTAACACCCGGGACATACTGTATTTTGTCTTCCCAGTGCCTGGCAAGCATTCACTGGGTGTTTGTTGACTAATGGGCTTGCTCAAGGGCTGGTGTGGTTCAGGCAGAGTGGCAGAGAGTGAGAGGAGCAGATATTGGTTAGAGGACCTGTGGAATAAGATGGCAAATGCAAGTCCCTGAGAGACACTTAAATCAGAGTGTCCAGGAGGTACTTAGGGGGGAGGCCTACCATCCCCCTTCAAGGCATGTGGGATTCTTTGGCAATACTCACCCCGTGTCCCCTTTTTTTCATTGGTTTATATTCACAGGCAGGACCTGCTGACTTGAAACACTTTGACCCAGAGTTCACCCAAGAAGCCGTGTCAAAATCTATTGGCTGCACTCCAGACACTCTGGCTAGCAGCTCCGGGGCGTCAAGTGCATTCCTGGGGTTTTCCTATGCCCCAGAGGAGGATGCCATCTTGGATAGCTAGAAGAGAATGCCCCTGTGACACCACCAAAGACAGCTGGTATCAGTAAGGAGTTACATTCTGCTGCTTGTAACAGACACAGTAACAATGGCTTAAACAAAAAAACAGGTATATTCCCCCAACTACTGCAGAAGATCAAGGTCTACAGCCTTCGGTATGGATTATATCTCAACGTCAAGAAAACAAACGTCCTCACCACAGGACCAACAACCAACAGTATGCTAGATAGAGAAAGGATTGAAGCTATCAATGATTTCATCTTCCCTGAATCACCAATCAGCATCCTTGGTACCAGCAGTCAGGACATCAGGAAACATATTGCAAGGGCAAAGATGTCAGTTTGAAGACTAAGGTGTGCTTAATTCAGGTCATAGTCTTCATAGTCACCTGATATGCATCAGAGAGGTGGACAGTGAATAAGGATGGCAGAAGGAGAATTGATGCCTTTGAGTTGTAATGCTGGAGAAGAGTACTGAATATCCACTGGACTGCCAAAAGAATAAATAGATACATCTTGGAGAAAGTGCAGCCAGAGTGCTTCTTGGAGGCAAAGATGGCTAAGCTGCATCTTTCATACTTTAGACATGTAGCTAGGTGAGGTTGTTCTTTGGGGAGGGATATCATGCTTGGAAAGATGGGAGGTTATTGAAGGAGAGATGGAATCTCTAATGAGATGAACTGACACAATGACTTCAGCAATGAGCTTGAGTGAGGATAGGGCAGGGTTCAGGTTGGCTGCTATGAGTCGTATTGACTTGATGGCACCTAACATAAGAAGAATGGTCCAGGGCAATGATGATGACAGCTCTATGATCATCATGTGTTGAAACTTTTCTGTTCTCCCACCCTGGGCAGATGCCTCCCAGTATTAGAATCGCTTTATTATCAGAAAATGGTTGTTGGAGCTCTAGCCATCACGTCTGTGTTCCAGGCAGCGGGGGAAGGAGAAAAGGCAGGAAAGGAAAAGGGCCTCATTCAAGGGCTTCCCTAGAAGGTTGGACAGTGACTTCTACTTCCATCTCATTGGCCATCCAGTGCTGCCTGTAACTGAGGCGATGCTATGTGGTTTACTAGCTGGGCACCTAAGCATAATAACACAAGGGTCCTTACACTAGAGAGACAGGAAGGATGCTGGTTAGGCAATCAATGCTCTTTACCAGTGGGCGTCTTGGCATGTGCATTTTGATGTCTATGTGCAAAATAAGAAGGACATAATGTGCCTGTACGGTATTGCCATATCCGTCTATGTTATGATGTCTTTCACATGAATAGTGCTGGACATCTGTTATCTAGTTTGATTGTCCAGCATCTGAACCTCTTCTTATATTCAGGGAATTTTCTACTTTATGAGCCTTGGGAAAGGGCAAGAACTACCTCTACCTCCACTTACACAGCTGAAAATGTTTGTCTATGAACATTAAAGCACATTTAGACTAGACTACGGCACCGGAGGCTGAGAAACACAAAAGAGGAGGAACAGGTGTAAAAAGAACTAGCGATTGGAACGTGGAATGTGAGCAGTCTGAATGTAGGAAACTTGGACATTGTTAAAGAATAAGTCAAACGCATAAATGTTGACATACTAAGCAGTGATGAGCTGAGGTGGATTGGCATAGGCCAGTTTGAAAATGTTAGGTACCCATTTTCCTAGCCTCCCTTGCAGCTAGGGACAAGCGTGTGGTCCAGGGAAGTACTTGTGCCAGAATTTGACTGAAGAATGCGTGACATAAGAAAGAAGAGACTAAGGGGGTCTCTTTTACATCAAAGCAGTGATAAAGCACCTGCAAAACTGAGTTCCTGGGAGAAGTGGTAACAGTACAAACTGCTGCTGTTGGTGTTATGTGCCATCAAGTCAAAACCGACTCATAGCTGACCCTCCAGTGAGTTTTCAGAGACAGAAAATTGCATGGGAGTTGACTGCCCATCTTTCTCTCATGGAGCAATTGGTGGATTCGAACTGTGTGCCTTTGGGCTGTCAGCACAGCTCCTTACCACTAGGCCACCAGTGCAAACTGTAGCAATCTATATTCAGTGGCAGCAATAAGTAGCAGTTTCCTGATCCTGGCATGTCTAGTCTTGAACCTGTGCCTTCAGCTCTCCCAAAGATGCAGAGAACTTTTGACCTTTTAACACACTCCTTTTCTTTCTAATTGGCCAAGGTCAACTTTACTTGTCATTCAGAATAATGCCAATTCACTGTCAATGTCGTTAATGAGGGTCAAATCAAGAACTGGCTGCAGCGAATGTTAGGTGTCCTCGAATTGAATACAACTCGTCGTGACCCATGAACAGACACAATGAGGATGGTACAGCATAGGACAGGGCTCATATCTGTCATTCATACGGCCACAGCAAACGAAGTAGTGGGAAATGAGGTCTGGAAGACATTCAGCTGCTGCTCCTGGTCTGCTCCAGGCTACTAAATTCATGCTGTGCTTCACTTCACATGCCTTTTTACGCCTGGCTGGTTCAAGGCCAGGGGAGCATGGACCATGGACAGCGCCAGAGGCAGGTACAGGTTTGATCACCAGCACTTTCTGGCCACTGTTGGAGCTCCATGCTTCAAAATAAGTTGTTTCTGTAGGTCATTCTGACTGGACAGAACACGAGCACAGTAAGACCTTGTGAATCCAGGGTATCCTAAGTTTGTGGGACAGATCACCCTGCCTTATTTGGGTGGAAAAGCAGTTTCTTTTTCACAAAGTTGTTTGTTTTTTTCTCACAAGGTGGCCTTGTTAACTTATTCCCAAACATTTAAGTCTGGCAATTTTCTTAAGAGAATCAATGTGCAGTGCAACAATGAATGAATGAAAACCCAAAATCTCTGTAAATGTTCATTAAAACTAATAAAATTTAATATTAAAAAAATGTAAAAAAAAAAGAGAGAGAATCAATGTGTGCTGGTGATTTTTACTGTCTTTCCTCTTCACTCATCCTGGTCTACTCTGGCCCCCTCCACCCCAGACATTGTTAAGGATGAGATTAGGAAGCTATGGAAGAAGACTCCAAAGGCAGTGACCTATCAGAGATCAAAGTTGGGTGTATAAGAACTATTGTTAACCTTTGACCTGCCTGAGAAGTCTGAAAGAAACAGCCTGATTTCCACTTTAATTACTCACTGCTGGTTCTGACTTATATTGACATTCCCCTGGATTCCTGAGGCTGTAAATGTAGAATAAGGAGACTACCTCCTCTTTCTCTCTCAGAGCTAAAGGATTTGAACCACAAGAGATGCATGGCTGTGGGGTTAGCTGTGCAACTTACCATGGTCTACACACCAGAGCCTCATTTTCATACCACCTGCTATTTGATAAATGTGGAATCTGACCAGAAGGAAGCAAAAACATTTTACAAAAGAGGCTTTTGTTAAAAATATGTGTGAGAAATAATGTAAAAAATGTAAGATCAGGTATGGTTGTGAAACAAATAATAGTTCTCTCTGTTCTAAGACTGTAAAATCATGAACTTTTCCACCACAATAGAAAATAAAGATGAAAAAACCTTTGCTATTGATCAGGCCATGCCTATGGCTATTGAACACACCTTTAATTCTGAGTTTTATATACATATGTGCAATCTTCATACTAGCTCAACATTTAAAAATTACTAACCTAACTTTATAAATCAGAAACAAGAATCTGAACCCAAAAGGTTAAGGTAGTACAAAATACAGAGAGGAACTGAACTTAGCGGCAGCTAATTTTAAAGTTCGTGCTTTTTCTTCTACCTCCAACAGTGAGAGAAGAACTCTGGGTAGGTACTCCTTTGATCTTCCAGCAAAGGTCCTAAGAGCAGCCCCAACTCTTGACCTTTCATATTTATCCTTAAGTCCAAGAATAAGCACCCAAAATACTTACCCAGAAAGATTTCTCAATCACCCTGTTCTCTTTTTAACAACGCTGTGAAAAGGTAAAAAGAGGTGTGTTTTTTATTTCCACAAACTCCTACACCTCTGGACATGGGAGAGTTTTACAAATCAAAACTGTCAATCACCCCTACTTTCAGAGGCTGCAGAGGCACCGCACAAAAATCCACTCTAAGAGGGCAGGCGTGGAGCACTCCCCCAGAAAGATCAATGGTCTTTGTGGTTACTGGCTTTTACTGCTGACAGTTTTGACCTGACAGCCTGGATGTGGTGATGGTTCTTTTGTAACCATCAGAAGGGGTCTCTTCCTTCTGGCATGTCCTTCCTTAGTTCCTACCTGACTGGTACCATTCATCCTATATACTGAAGAAGTGCACCTCTCCTGGTCAGCATGCCCCTTCCCCTACTTCTCCAGCTCCTTGAATCCAGTTTGTTTTTAGATGGACTTAGAGGTTCAAACGGAGCAATGATTGGGACCAGCAAGACCACCTATTGTTTTCTTCGGCTGCACACTGTTGTGTGCCTTCTAGTAGACTCACAGCGACCAATAACAGAACCAACAACAGAACCAACAACAGATCTGATACCCTGTCCTACCCTTCACCATCCTTGTCTCCAAGGAGCACTGTAGCTGCACTTTCTCCAAGACATATCTGTTTGTTCTTTTAGCAGTCCATGGGATATTGGGTACTCTTTTCGAGTATCACATCTCCAAAGCATCTATTCTTCAGTCATCTTTATTTCTTGTACATAAGGTCATAAGTCGTAAGTCATCCTCGACAACAACCACAACAACAGGATCTGACTCCCTGTCCGTGGACGCCTAGACGGCAGGCTCATTTCACCACCTTCCAGGCTCTCAGACTGGGACGTGGCATCTGGGTGCTCAGTGATGTGCAGCTAAAGAAGGGGTAGAACTAGCCCTGTCATCATTTTCACCACTAAACCCGCCCACCTTCTTCCTTGTCCGCATCCTGCGGGAAGACCGAGCCCCTAATGCGGCGAACTCTTCCCTGGGTACCAACCACCTACCAAATGGGACCCGGGGCGCTCTTGTGCCTGCGCTCCTAGGACTGAGGCTGTACATTCTCCCAAACTTTTCACCCCGAGCCCTATCTTCAAAAGTTCTTACAGAGATTTAGTAATAAATAATAAAGTTGTTGTTTGTTGTTGTTATGTGCCGTCGAATTGCTTGCGACTCATAGCGACCCTATGTACAACAGCCCTAAACTCTGCTCTGTCCCATGCCAATCTCATTGCCTCTGACACACCCATCCCGATTACCCCAGTCACTGAATCAATCCACCTCATAGAGGGTCTTCCCCTCCTACGCTGTCCCTCCACCCTCCCAAGCATGATGTCCCTCTCTAAAGACCTGTCTCTCCTTACAACATGTCCAAAGTATGTCAGACGAAGCCCCAGAATCCTTGCCTCCAAGGAACAACCTGGTTTAACCCTCTCTAGGATGAATCTGTTTGTTTTCTTGGCAGTCCATGGTACATTTAATACTCTTCTCCAGCACCACAGTTCGAAGGCGTCAATTCTCCTTCTATCCTCCCTGGTCATTGTCCAACTCTCTGATGCACAACAAGTGATTGCAAAGACCATGGCCTGTATCACCTTAGTCTCAATTCATTTATACGTGCCAAAAAAAACATAAGCCATCTCCTGGCGGTGGTATTGTCATTATTGTCATCCAGGAGGATTAGCTAGGTCACACTAGCCCCGCCCCTGCGTGCACGCCCACCCACCCCGTGACGCATTTCCGGAGCGCCCGAGCCCGAGCGAGTCGGCGCCTTTCGTTTTGACGTCATCACGTCGCTCCGGAGTCGGTGTCCCGGTCCACGCCTTCCCCAGCGTGTCTGGGCGCTCGCCCGGTTGCTAAGTGACCCTTGGCTACCTGGCTGCAGGATGCTGGACGGCGTCAGGTAAAGATGGTCATCGCCGGGTCTCAGGTGAGAAGGGGTCCTGCTGCGGAGGGCCGGCCGGGGCATTGGGCGGCATGGGCGCTGGCGAACGTCTCGTCCAAGTGCGCTCGAGGCCTCGGGGCCAAAGTTAAGGAAAATGCAATGTCCCCCGGGGTAAAGTAAGCTGGGGCGCCGGGGTCGATCCGTATCCCTGTTAGCAGACGGGACTGGAATGTCCATCCCTCGGGCTGTACTTGTGTGCACCACCGAGTTGGAACCAACCCTCCTGTGGGCTTTCAGAGTCTATGAACTTTGATAAACATCGATAGTTTGTAGAGGGGCTTCAGGCCTTTTGTTCATAGGGTCACTGTGAGTCGTGCGCGACAATCAGCAACAATCCTGCATACGGGTTGGAAGCAGGAGTGGCCTCCACTTCCTAATCTACATGCATCTGTAAACTCTATGAACTTTGATAAGTGTCAGTAGTTATAGAAAGTCTTCAGGCCTTTTGTTCATAAGGTCGCTATGAGTCGTGCTCCACTTGACGGCAGTCAGCTACAATCGTATGGGAGGAGATTGCCCATCCTTCCACCGCAGAGCGGCTGGTATATTTGAACTGTGTGCCTTTGGTCTTGCAGCGCAGCTTCTTGCCACTAGGCCACCAGTGCTCCGCAGTAACTAGACAGTACTTTTGATTCTGTGTTATTGAAGGGGGAAAAATGAAAGCACAACACTACGCAAATACTGATGATTTCATTTTTAAGACTCTTCTAGCCCTAACGAAGGCGCTCTGCTGATAGCTTCGTGGTATTAGTAGTTCTCAGATAGTTGTGCCGCCAACTTTAAGGCACTTGATTCGAATCCACCAGCTGCCCCGTGGGAGAAAAATTGGCAGTCTTCTCCTGTGTAGTTTACAGCCTCTGAAAACCTGCTGGAAAGTCGCTGTGGGTCGGTTCTGACTCGATGAGACATAGAACAACAAGAGAGCCCAGCGAAACCAAGTTCTGGGTCATTCAGACAGACTAGCAGTTCTCTTTGCTGTTCTCAGGCGGATAAGCTGCTGATTTGAAGTGTGGCTTTCATTTCTCCTTTTAAAAGCCAACTAATGGCAAAAGCAGTTCATCCATCCCTCTTCCCTAGGAATCTGCCCTCCAGGACTATGTCAGAAACAATACCAGAAATATATAAATTCTGCTTGTATCTGGAGGGTCAGTTACGAGTCGGTTCTGTTTTGTTTAACAAGAGCAGTGTCTTTCATGGCTGAAAGTTGTAAAGATGCTCAGTGAAGGCATTATTTCATTATCATAACACAGCCATACCATAGATCATGCAACCACTAATCTTATTTTGGAAACTAACTTTCAGGAAACAGGAAAAAAGCAAAATACAGTGTTATATGTTGACATAAAACCAAATATGTATGCGGTGGAATAGAGCAAAAAGAAGAGAGCTGTATTACAGTGGTAAGGTTTCCACAGGGTTTGAGGTTTTTACCCCCAACATGACAAAGTTAAAGTTCAACTCAAAGAATAAATAGGTGAGACTAGCCAAGAAAATTCTGAAAATTAAAACGAATAAGAGATCAGCTCTCCAGCACCACTAGATAGTATATTATAAAGCTATTGATGCCTTTGAGCTGTGGTGCTAGAGAAGAGTATTGAATGTACCCTGGACTGACAAGAAAATAAACAGATTCATCCTGGAGAGGGTTAAACCAGGCTGCTCCTTGGAGGCAAGGATTCTGGGGCTTCGTCTAACATACTTTGGACATGTTGTAAGGAGGGACAGGTCCTAGGAGAGGGATATCATGCTTGGGAGGGTTGAGGGACAGAGCAGGAGGGGAAGACCCTCTATGAGGTGGATTGATTCAGTGACTGGGGTAATCGGCATGGGAGTGTCAGAGACAGTGCGATTGGCACAAGACAGAGCAGAGTGTAGGGCTGTTGTACATAGGGTCGCTATGAGTCACAAGCGACTTGATGGCACATGACAACAACATAGATCGGGAGTCGGTGAAAAAGAGACCCTCGATGAGACGGATTGAGCCAGTGACTGCAACAAAGGACGTAAATGTAGCAGAGAATGTGTGATGGTGCAGGAGTGGGCAGTGTTTCCCGCGGTTGTACATTGAGTTGTTAGGGGTGGAGCTGACTCAGTGGCACGTAACGACTGCAGCTGAAGGCACCTGTTTCTTTCTTTTGAGGTATTACTTATTCTCGTTTTCTCATCTCTCCTTTCTTCCTTAAGGACACCATGGAGAAAGAGCTTCGGAGCACCATTCTTTTCAATGCATCCAAAAAGGAGATCTTTACCACCACTAGTGGGTATAAATCCATGCAGAAAAGACTCCGGAGTAATTGGAAGATTCAGAGGTGATGATGATGTTTTCCTTTCTGTTGGTACAATTGGAAACTCCTTTCAACTCAGCAAAGGTTGAGCAGGAGTAAATAAATTATTATGAAGGAGCCTTTGTAAATTGGCAGTAAACGTACTATTATGGTGCCTCCCCAAAATTACTTTAATTCTATGTTGTTGTTGTGTGCCATCGAGTTGCTTGTGGCTCATAGCCATCCTGTGTACAAGAGCCTTAAATGCTGTTCTATCCTGTGCCAACCTCACTATCTCAAACACACTCATTACCACCACTCCACTCACAGAATCGATCCATCTCATCAAAGGTCTTCATCTCCTGCGCTGTCCCTCCACTCTCCCAAACATGATGTCACTCTACAAGGACCAGTCCCTCCTTGCAACATGCCCAAAGTATGTCAGATGAAGCTTCAGAATCCTTGACTCCAAGGAGTATTCTGGCTTCTCCCTCTCTAGGACAAACCTGTTCTCCTAGCAGTCCATGGTATATTCAACACTCTTCTCCAGCACCACAGCTCAAAGGCATCAATTCTCTTTCTATCATCCCTATTCACTGTCCAACTCTCCGATGCATAGCACATAGTTGCAAAGACTATAGCCTGGATCAGGCGTGCCTTAGTCTCCAGTCTGACATCGTTGTACTTCAGTACTCTTGAGAGGTCCCTCACAGCTGACTTTCCCAATGCAATATGTCTCTTGATTTCCTGGCTGCTGTTACCAAAGTAAACTAAAACTATTAGCTAATTATATGTGTAATTTTTTTTTACAAAATGGAGTTTTTCTAGGTCATTTGGTAATTATTATTAAAATTATGTGATTATTTTAATATGAGTTAATGCTATGATTTAGAGAAAGGAAAACTGGAAATAAAAGGAGAATCAATCTCTCTCTCTCTGTCCTCTGGTTCCATACAGTCTAGAAACCAAAATAATTGCTAGATTTATTTACATAATGCATCTAATACTTCCTTCTAAAATTCTGTTTCTAGCTTAAAAGATGAAATTACATCAGAGAAACTAATTGGAGTGAAACTGTGGATTACAGCTGGACCGAGGGAAAAATTTACAGCAGCTGAGGTAAGAAATATGTTGGAGGTCTTGGAAAGAGTATGAGATTAAATGTGGAACAAAACATAAAATCTTAAAAAATGAGCCTGTCTCCTTAGATACCCTTCAAACTTAGAATTAAGTCCAAAATTATAGCTCAGCTTTGAGCCACAGGATAGATAGGACTATCAGGTGAATAACAACAGCGGAGAGGTAACACTCATTGGAACACTAAACCATATGAGATGAAAAGGCTAGCATTTGCTGAGGGTTAAATTCAGAAAGGACAAAAGGAAACTCAAGAAACGGGGAAAGGCACGAATGCTGCTACACTATGGGGATTGCAGTCTGTGTCACAAAATGCGTGTAATTTTTTCCCCCATAGTCCTCTGGCCCACCTTTTTATTTATCTCTTTTTTAACTAGTTTATTTACAAAATTCTAATACAAATATGAAAAAATTCGTTCCATTTCCCTCACCCTCCCCACCCATGAATTTGTACAATCTAATAGTTAATCCTCTCTTCCCCCTGTACATCCACATCCCTCTGCTTGCAGCCTGTCCCACCCCTCCTGGATCCTTAAACTCATTCTATAATAACGATCTTTTATAATATTTATCCTTGTGAGACTGAGTTAGTTCACTAAGCATAATGCTGTCTAGTTCCTCCCAAGTTAGATAAGAATTTACAAAGTTATTGCTTCTGCGTGCTGCATAATATTCCATTGTGTGAATGTACCATAATTTCTCAATCCATTACTTTGTGGTTGGACATTTGGGCTATTTCCATGTTCTTGTGATGGTGAATAATGCTGCTATGAACATTGGTGTATAAATCTCAGTTTGTGCCTCGGTTCTCATATTCTCAGGGTGTATTCCACGTAGTGGAATAGCTGGGTCGTATGGAGTTTCTGTGTTCAGCTTTTTGAGGAAGCGTCAATCTGCCTTCCAGACAGTTGCACCATTTTACAATCTCACCAACAATGTATAAGAGTTCTTTTCTTACCACATCTCCAACATCTATTACTTGCTGCCCTGTCAAACTTTGCCACTCTTACTGGAGTGAGATGGTACCTCTTTGTGGTTTTGATTGTGAATTATGGCTGGAAACCAACATGCTCTGTAAATTTTCACCCAACTCTCCATAAAGTAAGTAAACAAGAAAATGAAATACAGTGAGACAGTTAAGCTCCTGGGCTCTGAAATCAGAGTTCCTGGATTCATAGCCAGCTTATTAACTGTATACTGTAAAGGGAGTCTCTTGATCTCTCGTCATCTGTAAAAAGGTCTGTTGTACAGAGTTCAGGATTGATGAAGCTAAACTTCATTTGGCAGAAACCTCTCTTGGCAACTTTCCACGGTGTCTCCTCTGTTCTGCAGTGAGACCCTTGAGAGTGTGTACAAACGTGAAGGGCTGCTCCCAGTAAAGCTGGTCTTGGACAGAACCACTGCTTTAAACTTTCATTTTGAGGGATGTGCTTGAGAGTCATAAAAAGTTCTGACAGTATTCCATTATATACTTTCTATACAAGGACAAAGGAGCTTTGGTGGCTTAATGGTAAGAAGCTGCTCTGCAATCCCTAAGGCATGTGGTTTGAGGCCACCGGACCCTCCATGGGGGAAGGATGTGCAGTCTCCTCCCCTGCAATTAACTGCCTCTGAAAACCTTCCAGAGGGTCAACTGTGGGTCAGTTCTGACTCTGCGGCACCCAACAACATACAAGGACATACATGGAGTGCCTCTTGAACAAAGCCCAAAGACCTGAATTTTTCTCCCCTCTCTTTCACCTTTAAAAGCAAGAAAGAACTTCCAGGAGAGAAGCAGGCAGCATGCTGAACTCAGGAATCCTCATCCAGCCAGTGGCTTTGAACAGAATTCCTTCTGGGGGTGCGCTGCTTACATCCAGATCTCTGGGTTGAGGAGAGGAGTGCAGGGAAGGCAGAAGAATTGTGAGCTTCCTCTAGCTAATAGTTTTCTACTTTGATTTGAGAGTCAGCTTTGGAAATACCAGTTTAATTTGAACATTTTGGAGGTTTATTCATTTACATTTGGGAACCTTACAGATATAGTGGCAACAGCGGCTTCAAGCATAGCAATGATTGTGAAGAGGACATAATGTTTTGTTCTGGTGTACCTGGGGTCTCTGGGTCGAAAGTGTGTTTACAAGTTCCATCAATGACAGATTTGAAATCTACATTTTAGACCTGAAAGATCTTGTTCATAATATTTTGGCCAAATGTCTTTTGAGTCTATTCATGGATAATTTTTTTTCCTTTGTGTAGTTTGAAGTCTTGAAGAAATACCTTGATGGTGGTGGAGATATCCTTGTAATGCTAGGAGAAGGTGGAGAATCCAGATTTGACACCAATATTAATTTTCTACTAGAAGAATATGGAATCATGGTTAATAATGGTAATTCTTTTTTTAAGAAAGGCAATAATTCGCTATTTATTGTCCACGTTGTAGTCTCTGGGCCCAGTGGTGTAATGGAAAGGCCCCAGGGCTGAGGGCCATAATCTTGAATTCTGATCTTAACAATAGTCTCATCCTTCTGGACCTGAGCTGCTGCTTATAAAATGTGGAGATTGGAGAAGAATTTTAGAGTTCCCTGCAGGTCAATTTATGAATTTATAAAACACACCTTTTGGGGGGGAGGGGGAGGGGTTTGTGCGGGGAGAAGGGTGCAACAATGAATGAATGCAATTCCAAAATCTCTGTAGATGTTCATTGAAATGAAAAATAAACAAACTAAATGAAAAAAACCAAAACAAAACACACCTTTTTTTTATAAAAAAAATAAAGTTTTTATTTTATACGTGTTTACTTAAAAGCTCGTATATATTGTTTCCCACACTGGATCTTTCTCATTTTCTTTACCCACCCCTCCTACCTGTCAAATTGTGTGACCCTATGATTAACCATATGCCCCCTCATCCTGCCCTCTCTAATCCCACTAATGGTTTTATACAGTATTTGTCCTTATGGAACTTAGTTCACTTAGCGTAATTCTCTCCAGTCCCTCCCAAATGAGATAGTAATTTACAAAATCATTGCTTCTCTGTGCTGTGTAGTATTCCATCGTGCACAAGCAAAGTTATTTTTAATCTGAAATGCATATTCCCTTCCTCCTTCTTACAGATGCTGTGGTAAGAAATGTGTATTACAAATATTTCCATCCTAAAGAAGCTCTCGTTTCCAACGGAGTCTTGAACAGGTGAGCATGTTGAAAGTGGACGTGTTTCTATCAGTGACTCCTCTTTCCTCCATGAACCTTCTTTCCTGTCTTTTCATTGCTCTTGCTAGTTTGAGTACTTGATTGATTTATGTAGTTGAAAGCGTCCGTATAGGCAGAATGAGGTGCACATCGATGGGGAGATTTTTGGTGTCATCACGTTCCAGGTCTCTTTCTCTGTGCTTCTCTTGGCTCTGCCCTCCTGTATGTGTAGGTTTCATCCTCAAGATAGGGAAGTAGTTTTAACAGCCTGCAATTTTACATCTCATGCCACACACCTTCTAGGGCAAGGAAGCATGCTTTAATCCCAAAGTTCCAGACAGAGTAGCCTTCTGTTGGAGCTGGTTGAGGTCATACGTCTACCCTAAACCAATCCCTCTTCCAGGCCATAGAATGCTCTGATGGTGAAGCGAAGCTGTTTTCTACCTCTGAGATAGAGTCAGTCTTCTATGATCCACTGGCTCTCAAAACAGAAATTAAGGTCCTTTGGGAAATTAATGTTAAAAAAGAGCAATATCATACATCTTCCAAGAATTTTTCCCTCTGTCAAAAAGTGTACCAAGCCACTAGGCCTGGGAACTCAGCAGTGGGAGACAGCAAGGTCAGTAAGCATAATATAGCTCACGAAGACAGTGTCCTACATCTGATGAGTGGTGGCTGGATCTTGAAAGCTTACAAGCAGCCATCTAAGATGCATCTCTCCCTGTTCTGAACAGAGAAGAATGAATAAAATCAGTGATCAATAGTCCAAGAGACTGACACATGAACTTTTCGGCAGACAATATAAAAGTCCACTGCTGTTGAGTAGGCTCTGGTACGTGGCAGCCCTTTGTCTCTGAGGCTATGAACCATAACAGAAGGAGGCTGCCTCCCTCATCTTTCTCCTACAAAGCAGTTACAAAGTGGTTTCAAACTACCTCTTCTGCTAAGCAGGCGAGCACGTAACCTCCTGTACCATCGGAGTTCCTGAGTCCATGGGAGATGGACACTAGGAAGAATGTGCGCCTGAGAGCCATCCCTCGGGAGTTCTGGTGGCCTCATCCATAGGAAGTTGTGCTACTTCCCCAAAGGGCGCAGCTCTCTGGTGGTTCAAATCCACCAGTGGCTCCAGGGGAGAAGGATGGGCATTCTCCTCCGTGTGATTCACAGACTTGGGCACCCAATGGGGAGTCAGCTGTGAATTGATTCACTGAGATTGCGATTGAGGTGAGGACAGTCAACCACACGAGATCAAAAGGGCAGTGTCTGCCAGCTGTACTATTAGAAGGCAGGGAGGGAAGGACGAACGGAAGCAGAAAACACAAGAAGTGGGAAGATGCTATTGCCGTGTGAGGACTGTAATCATTGTCACAAAACGTGTATCAATTGTTGAGTGATTTGCTCTTTAAAGTTTCACTCATCACAATAAAAAGATGTGTGTTGTTTTTTTTTAAAACCATTTTATACTGAAACCTAAAATGTGCAGGCATTATACTGTGTCTGAAGATGGAGAAATAATTAAGACATGGGCTCTTCCCTTACGGCTTATCAAAGAGGAATTGATTGTAATCCAGAGGTGTGGCTATACCTTTATTCCGTTTTTAAAAATTTTACCTTGAAAAAGGCAAAGTCCTTGTGTTAAGTTCACACCTAATGAATGCCATGTTAAATTCAGAATAATTTTTTGTTTTTTCAAGGGAAATTAGTCGAGCAGCAGGGAAGGCCGTGCCTGGGTTCATTGACGAAGAGAGTGGTGGAAACAATGCCCAGTGAGTATGTTTTCTGAAGTCCAAGGCGGATTTCTTAATTTTTAAGAGTTGGTGATTTATTTAAGTAAGGGTTGGGTTGTTTAGTTTTTTTTTTCTTCCTGGGGACATTTTCCAAATGAAAAGATTTCCTTTGTGACTACAAAAGTAATTCTCATGGAGGAAAAGAACTCAGTAAAAACCAGTTCAAAAGATGGAAAGTAGAAGTCTTTCACTTTAACATCTTTGCTCTTCCACAAATACTTGGTCTCAACAGCGTGATGTCTAGATTTCTAATTTTGTTTTCACCTGTAACAGCTTATGGAGACACCTTGTCCTTTTTGATGACTGGATTAAATGAGATATATCCTAAAGCATCTAACCAATCTCCCTATTATTGATCAAAGAGTCATGCCCCCTAACGCTGACTGAAGGAGCCCAGTTGGTGCCATGGTCAAGCCCGGCAGTCTCCTCTTGGGGCCCTACTGCTAATGGAGAGGTCAATAGTCAGGAATTAACCCCCCTGTAGCTCCATTGAAGAAAGACAAGGCAGCCTGCTTCTGTGCACACTCTCCAGACCAGTTCACCTCTGTCCTTCAGGGTCATTATGAGACAGAATTGACTTGCCAGCAGATTTCTGGTTTAACGTCTTTTAGGCACTCAATAAACACCCCTCCTGTGCAGTTTACAGCCTCTGAGAACCTACTGGAGGGTCAGCTATGAGTTGGTTATAGTTCAGTAACACAGAACAACAACAGCAATCCGTCAGGCAGGTGTTAGCCTATTTAAAGAACGATTCATTGCCCAAGTCCATACCACCAGTAAGTGTCAAAACTTGGGCAGTCTGCTCCACACAGCTCATATTCTTAACCTCTGTTCTATATTCTTTTTTTTAAAATTATTAAATTTTATTGATTTTAATGAACATTTACAGAGATTTTGGGTTTTCATTCATTTACTATTGCACTATTTTCTCTACCCTCCTCCTCAGTTCATTCTTCTTTTCTTTTACCCCCTTGAAAGTCTGTTTTAATTGTCCAATTGCCACAGTGCTTGTCAAAGTGTTCTATATTCTTGTTACAAACGTATCAGATTGATTCAGCCTAGACAGAGTAAGTAGTTCTTGGTAAGAACAGTGGAAAATAGATGGACCCCAAGGCAGGTTTGCATGGACGTGTCCTCCCCCAGGGAGATTCACGTCAGCGTTCCACTGGTAGCACACAGTGCCAGCCACCACCTCTCAGAGATGGTCTCTCATCTACCCACTGTTGACAGGACTCTTCTTACTTGAGTGACTCTTCCATCAGGTTTCTAGGTCTGTCAGTCTTGACAAGAAGAAACTGTCTTTCTCTTGAGGCGTGACTAGTGGATTTGAACTGCCAGCCTTCTGGCTAGCAGTCCAATAAAATGACCTGCTTTGCTACCAAGGCTCCTTAATTTTCAGAGATTTGTTGTTATGTGCCAGCAAGTCAACTGCCACTCTTAGCAACTCTATGCACGACCGTTCTGAGCCCTCCTCTATCCTGAGCCAGTCTCACTGGCTCTCACTGTCTACCATCATTACCCCAGTTATTGTGTCAATTCATCTTTTCCGGAATCTTCCTCTCCTGCACTGTCTCTCGACCTTTCCAAGCATGATATCCTCCAAAGACTAGTCCCTCCTGGCCACGTGCCCAAAGTATGTAAGACACAGTCTCAAAATCCTTGCCTCTAAGGAGAAGCTTGGTTTCACTTTCTCCAGGACAGACCTGTTAGTTCTCTAAGGCTGTCTATGGTTTGTTCAAAACTTTTCTCCAGCACCACAACTCACAGGCATCAATTTGTCTGTCATTCTTGGTCTTTGTTCAGCTCTCTGATGCAAATAATTACAAAGACCATGACCTGGATCAGGTGCACCTTAGTTTCTAGACTGACATTGTTGCTCCTCGTCACTCTGGAGAGCAAATTTCCGACAGATAATTTCTCTAATGCAGTTTGTCTTTTGGTTTCCTGACTGCTGGTGCCAAGAGAGTTTGTTGTGGAACTGAGAGAGGGAGCACCAGCGAAATCTGGAAAGGTGAACATACGCAGCAGTGGTCGTTCCGTGGCAGGTGGGAGACCTAGGTTTGATTCTCAGCCATTGTACTTCAGTATGGCTACGAATCATTTGTTAATGGAGATTTAGGTGCTACTGTGATGATAAAAGGTTTCAGTGGAGCTGGAAATGGACAGACTAGGAAGAAAGGCCAGAGAATCGATTGAAAATCAATCAGTGCAGATCTCCTGAGTCATAAAGGTTCAGTCCCCAAAAACCCAAACTAAACCCACTGCCTTCAGGTTGACTCTACTCAGAGCGACCTTTCATTGGGTTCTTAAGTGAGCACACTCCCTCCTCTTTCCTCCTTTGAGTGCTGTGCTACCCGGAGGGCTCTTTGTTACCCACAGCAGCTTCAAGGCTTTCTTATGCAGGGTAGCTGGAGCTCCTTGTTTTCTCTTCACTCACCTCTTCACAGCTCCTCGACCCCCAGCTGGTGGTTTTAGGACTATCTTGGGATAAAAAGCCACAGTCCCAACATTTCTCCTGTGTAGCTCTGGTTCAGTCCTCAGCCTAGGCCCCATCTTTTCCTTTCCCTCCACTGGGTCTAATACAGCCCTCCAATTACAGTCATTCACACTTCCCTATATGTTTACATCTGTATTTTTTTAAATGCCTTATTAAGCTTACAGCGAGAGTTATCCCAATTTTGGTGTTCGAAACGCTTATAAATACTGCTGGTGGGATTGTAAGATGATGCACCCTGCAAGAAGCTGCGCTGCAATCCCGAATGCATGTGGTTCGAATCCACCAGAGCTCCGCTGGAGAAGGAGGGGCAATCTCTTTCTGTGCCAGTTGGACCCACTTCTGTGGCACACAACAAATAAAAAAAAATAAAAAAGATGATCATTTCCTCAAAAAGCTCAACAGCTCTTTTATTGCTAGGACTATATCCTAAGGAAATGAGAACTGAGTCAAGAGTGGACATTTGTACATTGGAGTAAGATGTATATAAATACGCAGAAGGGAAAGGGAAGAGGCACAGAATAAGGGGGAGGGGTGAAATATCACTGGGGTGGCAGAGGTTAGTGGGTGGAGGGGTGACATAATGGGAGGGGTTTAATGGGTTGTGAAAAGACAGGCTGCTAATAGGCATCAAGTAATGGTAACTAATGACATAAAATACAAACCCATGACTATAAAACACAAAGTACGTCTCTCTCACCCATCTGCCCAAGATGCCAAAGGGAAAGAAGGCCAAGGGGAAGAAGGTGGCCCCGGTGCCCGCCGTGGTCAAGAAGCAGGAGGCCAAGAAGGTAGTGAATCCCCTGTTCGAGAAAAGGCCCAAAAACTTCGGCATCGGGCAGGACATCCAACCCAAAAGGGACCTTACCCGCTTCATCAAGTGGCCCCGCTACATCCGGCTGCAGCGGCAGAGGGCAGTCCTCTACAAACGACTCAAGGTGCCACCTGCTATTAACCAGTTCACCCAGGCCTTGGACTGCCAGACAGCTACTCAGCTGCTGAAGCTGGCCCTCAAGTACCGACCAGAGACCAAGAAG